GTCCAGGTTCGGCTCCCAGCACCCACAATGGGAGCTCACAGCCACCTGCACCTCCAGTGTCAGGGGTCCAAAGCCACAAGTCTTTGGGTCTCTACAGGTATCTGCCAGCACATCCTCATCGGTATACTCATACACAGACATATACAAATTAAAAAACATAAAGCTGTGTATGATGGTGTGTGTGCCTTTAGAAATGGAGGCAGACAAGTCAAGAGTTCAAAGCCATCCTCAGCTTCAAAGTGTGTTCAAGGCCTGTGAAAGGCCCTGCCTCAAGAGCTAGGATCCTGTCACTGAAGATACCACACACCTTGCTTGCAAGGTGTAAAGGAACCCAACAAGAACTGATCTGGAAGCTTCCTCCCCGCCTTTATAATGCTGGAAGGTGCTACACAGGCTGATGGGAAGAAGGGCATCAGTGACCTTGTCCAGCTGGGAACCCTATGATTTGCATCAACCCATCAAGCAAAATGAGTGGAATGGGTGTAACCAACCACTGTCTGGCTGGTGGTGTGGTCTGCTCCTCAAGAATTTATTCCTGGTACACCTAATTAAAAACCCATGGCTGAGGATACCTTAGGCACTCAGGGTAAGCATAATACTGTTGATTACCTAGATCGTCATGGTCCCAAACTACCTTCTAAATAGTTACAATTATCCCCATAGACCAATGCCACTTTAATCGGAAAGGCTTCTCTTTGCAATAAATAGTGGTGAATGCAGGGGCTCCTGGCTGCTCAAGGTGCTGTGGATAAGTAACAGTTGAATGAGCGACACTAAGAAGACATTTGTACTCTCGCTAAAGCCCAGGCAACTTGAGATGGCAGATGATGGGGTAGAAGAAACATAAGAGCCAGAAGATAAAAAGGGCCATGACATTTTGCCTTCTAGGCAAGGCGAAGTTAGTCAACACAATCACGACCCCACAGAAGCTGTGCTGGCTTGCAATGGATCAACACAGGACCAGGCCCATCAGCAGTCACTCATGGAAGACTTTAAAGGATTCTACCCTTTACCCATGGACAGCCACACATGATCCTGGGTAAACTCAGTATCTCTCAGACAAAACAACAACAAAGCCACAAGAATAAGAAGGAGACTTTTAGGAATGAGGGAAAGGGTGAAAATGGTGGAGGGAGACTAGAGAGGGTTATAATAATTAGAATGCACATTATACATGTATGGTTCTGTCAAAGAGCAAGCTCAATAAAGATTGTAAAAAGCATACTGCAATTCCTTCTGTACTTATAGGTTAGATAAAGCCTGAAGTCCTTGTTTTTGAACCATTCTACCCATTCCAAAGCGAAATATGATTTCTCTAGTGACGATTGTTCAGTTACTCTGCTTGAGGACTTATTTAAACCACATTAGAAAATGGGAAAGAGATCCTAAGCATGGGCACATTCAAAGTGACACACCACATGGTAAGAAGGAACATCAGCAATAAAGCCACACCAGAAGGACAGACGCAGCCAAACCAGGGACATACAGTCAGAAAGACCAGCAAAGCCACAGCCGCATGCAGCATCAGACCTGCTGAATTTAAAGGAATCACAGAAGTAATGGAATGCTCTCTAGAAAATTTTAGAGAAAGGAGTATCTTGATCATTTTTTTTAAAGTTTCACTAGGTTTGGTAGAGTAGGAAGAGCAACTGGAAGATTGTGCTGGAGACCTTGGCGAGGTGGGTAGTGGGAGGAGTGCTGGGGCTTAGGGATATTTCACCTTGCTGCTGATGGGGCGTACTGCGGATGAACATGGGACATGGTAAAGGCTGCCTTGCGGGACAACTTTGGGAGACTCCCGGCGTGGACTGTGGCAGAGCAGTGTAAGAGAACCAAGACCCTAGTTTCAGGCTGCTGTAACCGTGTGATGTGTATTTTGTGTCTTCAGTAGACACACCAAGAGGCATCTGAATGTAAGACTGGAGCCTGGAGAGCTCGGAGCTGGATTTGCCTGCATGGGAGCCATGACATTGCTGCTAGTGTTTGCAGGTAATACTGAATCCAGTTGAGGTGATAGCTGGAGGAGCGGGCCTAGGGCAGAGCCCTCAGCTTCCTTTCCATTGAGAATCTGAAAACAAAGATGCAGTCATCAGAGGAGGCTGAGGTGATATTGTCGGGAGGAATATCACCCAACAAAAGCTACCAGAAGCCACAAGATCGAAACGAGTGCACTCTGTCGAACGCACTTAAGATGAGGACAGAGGTGTCAGATATGGCAGAGAGGAAGGATGCTAGAAAAAAGGGGAGACATTCATAAGGATAGCCATTACAAATGCACTGAAAAATATTAACATGATGCTTTTGCTTGCTGCAAAAGGCAGGGAGGGGGATATGAGAAAGCACATGTGGGCATAAAAAGACCAGAAATACTAACGGAGGTTTGAACACTAGTGCTGTAGATGCAGTGGAGAGGAAGAACTTGATGGTGTGTACTGAAGGAGGAGAGGGAGGGAGGGAGACAGATAGAAGGATCAAGAAGTACTTAGAACAAGAGTGGAACCTCCCCACCCACCACAACCAGGAGAGCCACCGCGTACGCATTTAGATGCAAGTAAGCTGCTGCATTTGTGGGCATGTGCAAGAGGCCATCTGGAAACACGACAAGACAGCATATTAGGAAATACTAAATCTAATGTGTGTTGAGTGAGTAGACACAAATGTTTTAGCATTACAATGAGGAATAAGGCAGTAGAGGGGAATTTGAGGTAAGCCTTACACGGTGCTCTACCTCCTGCCACCGTGCTGGTTACCCACACCTTATCAGTCCGATCACTTTACTGTGCTATTCCTGCCATCTCTATCGTTTCTGCTTTACCCTTGGTCTCTAGGCTGCACTTCCAAGGCACTGGCTCTCATCCGTAACATATCTGTCTATTACACATAAGCCTTAATATCTCAAATGCATGTCAAGACTTTGGGATAGGGTCAAGTATCTTACAGTAAAATGTCACTGTCTCTCCCAATGTGAAAAATCTCATATTAGATATGAGGTAAGTATTTAGTACCTGCTTGTTGACCAATTTATTTTTTAGAGTTGAATGGCTAATAAAACGTTTTATGTAGCAATTCCTCAGCTAATAGAATATGCACAATTCTTCTCGGCACCTGCTGGGCATTTCTGGGAGATGCTGCAATCATTCATCAATTTTCTCCTTTATGTGTTATTCAATTAGTTTGTCTGGGGTGCAGCCTAGAAGGAGCATCAATCAAGAGCATAACTGCGAGTTGTGTGCAAGCTCTGTGCACACTAATGGTCTGCATCTAGTTCCAACAGGAAAGGCTTCTGTGACTCACATGCAGGCTCAGCTTTGAGGAGGATGCAATATAAGAGACTCATAATTGCCCAGTGCTACTGTTTTCAGTAACACAGTGATGAATTTGAAATCGATTTGGTGATGTACTTAGTGAAATAGTAATAGTGTTACTAAAATTATCCAAGAGTCATAAACATAGTCTACCTTGAACTCTTTTGGGTTGAACGGTCTGCAGAGTGTTCATACGCACAAAATTTCTACTGTGTTGACTTTTACAAAATATATATTTAATTCTTATTTTAACTCTTAACATTTAGGCACAACTAAGCTATTTGGACATAATTACACTTAAGTACATATGCAATATTATATCCATATATAGATATATCTTAAAGTTAGTAACCACACTATCATACAATAATGACCTTTAATTTTGTTCAACAGGTTACTGAGGCAAGCTAATGAGTTATCAGTCCAAGTAACAATCAAACATTCCAATTGCACACAACACTCTTTAGAACAGCTTTGTTAATTATTGTAATTTTTAAAGTTATTTTTAGACAAGGTCTCAGGGTAGTGCAGGCAATCCTCCAGTTCTCTAAGTAGTAAAGGATAGACTTGAATTCCTGATCCTCCTGCCTTTGACTCATGAGTCCCACCATGCCTGGTTCATGCTGGCTGGGGGACTGAACCCAGAGCGTCATGCATGCTAGGCAAGCACTCTGTCAACTGAGCCATTTCCCCTAGTCCAATTATTATAAAATTTTTGTCATTCTATGCTGGAGTTACTGACAAGATGAGCTATTTTGTTTGTTTATGCAATACTCATGTTGGCAAAAATCAAATCAGACATAACGGAATAGATTAAGAGACAAAATTTTGTATTGTGTGCAACCTATGACAAAACATTATTAGGTATATTTTTTGATTGAATTTGCATTAAACAATATGCTGGGAAAATCTTTTAAAGACATTTGCATTAAGCATTGCAGAAGAAATCTAGTGAATACAGTGTGATGCATATAACCCTTTGGAGATGCTAATCTTCAGTCCTTGTGCCTAACGGCTAACCCTGGATGTGAGCAGCCTTAAGGCTCTCCAGCTGTTCCTTAAGATTTCTATCTATCCCTCTAACATACATAGATTTTTTTATACTGCTATCCATCCCATAGATTAGATTCTGGCTAGTGATAAAATAGCAGTGTTTATACTGTTCATTAAAAGAATAAATCCAGACAATTTAAAAGAAATTTTACATTTAAAAACAAACTGCTATCCATTGACACTTTTGAGGGTTCTTGGACAGAGGAAACAAAATGTACCACTAAGAGTTCTTTTTTACCTTTTAAATCACCAATAAAAAATATACATCTTGGGGAGGAGGTGGAAATTTTTAATAAAAAAAAATACATCTTTCTCTGAAAACTCTTTTCTTCCCCACAGAGGCAACATACCCTAAAATGAAGATTAATAAGCAATTAATGGCTCATACTTAACTCAATATTGCGAATGTGCTGGTATAATATCTTGCTAAATATAAGAATTTTGAGAGCCCCAAAATTAAAGACTTTGATGTGTGTAAGATCAATAGACGTGACTTATCACTATTTAATATCAGTTTTAATTTTTAAATGCCATGTTCCAGTGGAAAAAAGTTTACTGCACAGGAAAATTGAAATTCCAAGAAAGAATTCAGACAAAAGAAACAAACTTTATATTAAAGCCCCGTTAAGAGGTCAGACTTACGCAGCAACCTCTTCCTTCGACAGGCCTTTGAAATTCTGCTCCAGGTAATGATCTATGTCGTCTTTCTCTTTGATCAATCGAGCTCTAAATGAAATGGAGAAAAAAATAATAAAATATCGGCTGACCAAGTTGAAAAGCTTCCAAACACACAAAACGGTACCGGAAGGGAAGTTGCTTTCGGCAGACAAGGCGTCGGCGGAGAACGCTCTGCCATAGCTGTAACCTAAAGTTGTTAGGATCATTTCCAAAACCTTGACGGTAAGAAGTTAGGGAAGAGTAGATCCAGCGGGGAGAGGGAGACACAGCAACATAGCAACAGGTCACGTGCTCGAGTAGTGGTGTTTTCTCCCAAAGCCTGCTCGGTCTCCCATCTCACTACTCATGGATCTCGCTGTACAACCCTCTCGCTGTTTTCTTTGGTACAGGACAGGTCAAAAACTACTGCTGATACAATGTGTTAAACGTGTGTGTTCCAAACATTAGCAAAGTTTTCGCTGGAATGCTCTTCGAAAAGGCCATTTTCTCCACTTGTTCTGTTTGCTTTGTTCTTGTTTTTCAGACAGCTCTCACCGGACACCTCGTTCTCGTCCACTGACTGCCTCAGCCTCCAGGCACTAATCCCAGGTGTGCCCCATCACGCCCTGTGCTTGTGTTTTTTTTTCTTAAATCACACATACATCTCTAACTATTGAGATTCAAGATGCAAAAAATTTAAAAGAGACTTCATTAAAAAATGTGTTCATTATTAGCACCTATAGTTGTTAAAATAAAAGCGCATTAAATCCCCAGAACCTGTGTGGATGGTGCTAAACGTTCCCAAACAGTCATGATTTACTTACAGAATTTTTATTAAAGAATGTTTGTAAAAACTTTTTCCTAAATAGTAACCATGAAAATATTTTCTTTAATAAGATTCTTTGTAAAAATCCATCTTATTTTTAGGAAGTGAGATCAGTTGTGTTTATTGCTCACTTAGAAAATAGCATGTGTCTGTAATCTTAATCACTGAAAAGTAAGCAAGACAGCAAGCTTTTCAAATTCTGTAAATATTTACAAAATTAAACATACATAAGTATTTCTACATGCATTATTAAAAGATTTCTTACCTTCCCAAAGCCAACTATTTGATTTACAGTTTTAAAAGAATGTTTGTGTTGGTTTGGTTACGAATTTGCTTTGGTTCAGGGGCTTTGGTCTTTCTAGGAGATACTAAATATGAGATATGATAACAAAGAAATCTTGCAATAATTTGATTGTCATACTTTGCAGGAATTGACACAATGTACAAAAACAAAATGGCAAAGGGTACATCTCATCTGCAAGTTCTTTCTAGTTATAAGCAATGTGTGCATTTTTAAAAGTCAATACCCTGACAAATGACAACTTCGAAGTATCTCAGTATCTGTTAATAGCCGTAAATGCGATAACTGAACCAATTTCTTCTTCTGCATTTTGTGACAGCTCCGACTGTTTGGGAGCCATTCTCAGCATCTTCAGCATCCTCAGCAGCAGTAGGGGTGCATTTTCAGATTCCATTGTCATTTCATGAGCTAAATCCTGCCTGTAGATGGAGCCTACTCAGAAGCAGTTTCCTATTAGGAAATAACTCCCCCCAAACAGCAGTCAGTCTGTAAGACTGTGGGAGCTAAGATGTCTCCATCTTAGAGCTTCTGCTTTGTCCCTCTGTGCCTAAATCGAAAAGGAAACATCTCGAAATTCTGTAGAAAACATAAAATAATTTCATAGGAAATAAAATTATTAAATGACCACCAGCCTGGTAAACACTGGTTATATTTGAGTGAGATTTATTAAGCCTTTCAAAACAGTGAATTTGAACATTTGACTATATAATGTATTATCTCCTTATGCAATTGCAGTTTTGAGATGTGCTACTGACATCCTGGATTGCAGAAACTGCACTCTGTAGGATGAGAGAGGAGAAGCAGGGACGCGTACCTTGGAATTGTTCCTGAAGAGCATGGCAGTTTCTGCCTGGCCAAGACTGCGAGCCTTGTACGCGCCACAGGAACTGGGGGGAAGGTGGTCATTGGGGACTGCAAAATGTAAGCGGAAATGGTGGTTTTAATAGGACAAATCTTTAAAGAATCCACGAAGACAAGCTATCACTAGCAATGAATTAGGTGTTATCCGAGGTAAGGATGCCTCTCTATGTCGAGCTACTGCTTTTGTTAGGCAGGAAAGCTACTGAGAGAGTGGGTTCCGCAGGCTGCGCCTCTCATCCCCTCCACTGTCAGTCTTTTGCACAATCGTCCGTATCTCTACCCCAAAGTGGTAGGAGAAAATCCACAAATGCATTGATGTAGCTTTGTAGATAGTTCTGTTAAGAGACATGGTCACAGCGCAAGAATGAGGTCACTGAAGAACTGTGGGTTCTGTGATTCGTGCTTTAATTTTCTGTCGCAACCAATGATGGAGATTAGGTCAGATTTTGCTATTTTCTAGAAACCTCAACACTCACAAATAAAGGTTTCCCTTTGACGTGATAGATGCTAAGTTCCCAGGAAGGAGGCAGCTTCCCTGAGGAGGCAGATAGCTAAAGCACCTAATCATTTCAAAATGCATTGGCTTAAAAGTTGTTTAAAACCACTTTCTCTCTCACACTTTAGATGTGTCCAGAAACTGGATAGAGTGTAGCTTTTCTCTGACCCTAAATCAGTGGAACCTTCACTGAAACCTCTTCTGTATGTTTAGAAGCTCAAGTAACCCAACTAAGGACAAGGCTCATCTCCACTCATTTATCTGGTGGTAAGGGCCACCAGTGGGGACCCCAAACAGAGCTGTCCTCCAGAGCACATACATGTAGTGTGGTCATACATTTTGGGTTTTCTCATTGCATAGCAGCCTCAGTATTTCTTAGGGACAACAAAGGGCTCCAAAGGGAAGTACCCCAATGACATTAAGCTGAATCTCTCTTAGTTTGGGCCCACAATCCTCACAGCATCACTTCCAGTAGTGACAAGCCTGTCCAGACACAGGTCATGTGAATGCAGAACCATTCTCCCGAGGAAGGCTGTCACTCATACTTAAAGAAGAGAATGGGGTGGAGGGAAAAAGAGATGGCAGACTTTTCCTGAAGTGCATTATGCCATAGTTTTGAGCATTGAGAAAGGAACGTAAATCAAGGTATTGAAACTTTGTCCCCAGAGAAAGCAAGGTGGATCAGGTGTGGTGGTGTACATCCTTAGTTTCAGCATTTGGGAGGCAGAGAAAGGCAGATCTTTGAGTTCGAGGCCAGCCTCATCTATAAAGTAAGTTCCAGGACAGCCATGGCTACACAGAGAAAACCCCGTTTTGAAGAAGGGGAATAAAAGCAAGCAAGGTGGGTCCTGGTGTCTGGAGGACCCACAGTAGAGAGCGTCCATTGTGACGAGGGTCTCAGCAGCAGAGTCCACCCTCTACTTAAATAGAGAGCCTTTAGAAAGCCCAGATGCTCCTAGCGCCATAACTGCCCTCTGCACCAGCTCTGACTCCTCCCATCACCAGCTTCCTAGAAGACTGTATCAAAGCTTCAAATCGCTTGTCACCAGCATTGAATACCCGTGTGATCTGTAGTAAAACTATCAAGTTAGGCCTTGAATGTTCAACAGATTATCCACCGAGCCACTATTTTGGGACAGGCACTGTCCTAGGTACTGAAGACACGACATCCAGCAAAAGGACAAAGATCTCTGATCTCGTGGAATTTCCATTATGGAAATGGATATTGAGAAAAGCAGACATCCATTACACAAGCAAAGTAGACCACAGCATGGCCATAAAAAGACTTCACAAGAAAATTACAAAACAAATGTTAAGCAGTAGCAGAGGGTAAATAAGATGAGAAGGCAATGAAGTCAAAATTTAGGGAGGCAGAGTGCCAAGTCGCTACAGAAACTTTCACATTTTCCTGACTGACATAAGAATTGGGGTACTCTTTCTGCTGTAGGCCCTCCAGACGCCAGGATGCACCCTGCTACTGGTGGGACGACACAATCTCAACTTCACTTCAAAAAGTTTACCCTGGCTTCTCCCGAGGTCACAGGGATACGAATGCTGGGATGCAGAACCGGTGCCTTGGAGGCTGCTGTGGATCTAGCAGGAGAGGTTGGGAGGGAGAAGCAGAACTGAGAGATGTGGCCAGACATCCACACAGTGGAGTGCTATAGTATCATGACACTCTAGGACTGGGGTACAGGAAGGAAACACTAAATTTTGAGGGGAAATCTTGTGAAATTCAGTATTGATAGTGTTGGTCTCAAGTTCCTAAAAAAGATTATCACATTGGACTAAAATATTTTTACATAAAGAGAAAATTTAAATACAGATTAGTGTTTTATTTTTGATACACTAGAATCCTATTACCCTGTTTATGCAGACTTGATTAACTACATGAATCAAAAGGCAACTTTTTCTACACATTTGTAGCCTGTGCATAATATGCAGTTAAAACACAGTCTAAACACAAAGTATTGTTTTTTTTTTCTGCAGAATAGGCACCAGAAGTGGATATTATTACAAGGGATAACTTTATAATATAATGACCTAACTCTCTTGTAACTTAAAAAGATCTGATTTTTTTTTTTGTGATCAAATGTTATACCAATAAGTTGATTTATCTGGATGCCCAGAACTTATTCAATCAAGTCTTACACATACATGTGTTAAGGAGTTTTGACTAGCATAGGAAAACTCTCATGGACGTGCTTGAAGGAACACAAAGGCCCCTCAAATCTGATTTCCATAGACTTACTCCAGAATCTATGGAGCCTTTCTTCCAGAGTATTCTATTTATACTAGAGAATAAATGGGAATGTACTTAGTCTCTGTCCCCATCTATGCCCAGTGCATTTCTAAGGGAGACCACAACTAGCCTTTCCTCTCTCTGTTCAGCACATCCCTCATCCAGCGAATGAATACACCCTGAGGCCCCATCCTACTTTCCAGATCGTTGAGCCTTGGGGCACTAGAGCCTTGGGGTCTTCACAGTTGCAAAAACCTTTAAAGGATTCACTGAGGAGCTTCTCAAATGCTGGGAAGACTCAGCTATGTGCAGGCAGATGGAGCAGCCTCCAGAAGCTGCAGAATGACCAGCATATAACTTTGCCACCCCTCAAAACAGGCCTTCCAGTATATTATACAAAACCAAGGGGGTTGGCTGAATTTTGCCAGGCAATATAAGCATGTAATGAAACCAAATGCAAATGACATCCATGGAAAAGAATGTGTCTGCTTTGTCACACAGATCAACTGCGATTTTTTTTTCCTTCAAATTCTAAGTCAACGTTTCCCACCATTAAAGTTTCAGCTGCCAGTTCCTTCATTTTGCTCTCCTCTGATCTGAGAACATGAGCAGCGGGAACACCTTTACTCTTAAATTTAGTTTAATGTAAGTATTGCAAGCCCTGCTGGCAAGCCTCAAGGCACAAACTCTGAATGAGGGGTGGTCAGAGCTGAATTATAAAGTGGGAAAAAAGTTATTAACTGCATGTTGGAAAAATGTTGCTCAACCCATCTGTCCTGGAAAGTGGAAGCTAAGCTTTAGAGCAAATGTCTAGCAGCCTCTCTCCTTGTTCTGAGCCCACACTCTGCTTTGCTTATGGTTTAGGCAAAGATGTTTTGTTTATCAGAACCAACGTGTGGTCATCACTGTATTTATTTATGCAATAAACAGTGTGCAGCTTGAACCACATCTTCATGTGGGATTCAGTGTGATCCTGGGCCAAATTATCTTCCTAGGTTACTCTCCTCCCTTTCATGCCTCATAAGTTTGGTCTTATTTATGCTGACATTTATTAAAGCAGGAAGTAGCTGCATTGTCTTAAGGAACGAGGGCTGAGGAGACCCAAAGTCGTGGGGGAAATGCCAGTATGTCAGGGAGCTATCATCACAGGTGGGGTTTTGTTTGTAGAGTGACAAAAGCTTCTTGTTCACTGTGAACATGACTTGAGTCATTTCCCATCATTCCCAGCCTTTGGCGTTCTAACCTCAACTCAGTAATGAGGAATTTAGTCCACTCCTGCTGTGCACCACCTGCCTAGGTCAGCAGCAGAGATGGAAGTCATCCCCAACCCCTTGGCCATGGTCTACCCCAATCCGTGCCACAGAAGAAAGCTGCAAGAAGGGCAGTCGCTCAGGAAAGGGAGAAGGAAGTGACCTCTCGGGCTGGTCCCAAGATGTGCTGAGCCCCTGGAACCCAGTTCAAGCAGTGCATTAGGAGGACCCAGGGGCATTGCCCCTCCCTCCAGTGCCAGCGAATGGGCAGTGTTATATGTGGCACCACAGGGGCTGAGACAAAGATCAAAAGGCCGCCTGAAGCCATTCCACAGTTGGTATTCAGAAAAGATTTGGCACATTCTTTGATCTGCTGGTTGGCGCTCACATCAGCCGCAGTTACAGCCTCCACGTTTGGCCCCACATACAAAGACAAATGAGAATGGGGAAGCAGAGGATGAAAGGCTTGAGAGCCTGGGTCAGGCCGAATGTGTCCTACGGTGTGAGTGTAAGTTTCTGGACCCAAGTGAAACTTCAAAGGGTAACCCTCCTGCCCGCTCCCCCTTGACCTGTCCCCAAAGGAGCCACAAAGGAGGGCAGGTGACTGCATCCACAGAGGCTGTTTAGAGAAGGGCTATGCATGAATGACAAGACCTCCTGGTCCAATCTCTGTAGAGCAAGAACCGAGGTGTGAGAAACAAAGGCAACAACTCCAGCAAGCACACTTATTGTGTATCTCCGAGAAAACGCAAAATATATGATTTTCACACCAATGGCACTGTACCATTCTTAAGACTGGGAACATTTTATATAAGAGCTCTTTTGCTACAAAAGACTAAAGAAACTGCAGGATACATTTAATAGTTTATACCTCTCACAAGAGGGAAAAACAAGTTCACATAAATAAGTTTAAAACTTTTGGACAGTCTTAGCACCTTGTGAAACAAGTGGCAATCACACATTTCCCACTGCCTGACATTTATTAGTGACTCTATCACAGCATCAAGTAGAAGGTAGGACATATTTCATCCAACTTACATTTGCAGATAACGGATTTCTCTGGGCCCTCAGGTACCAGTCTGCAAAATCAATAAGCAAAGTACAACAGCAAAGGAAAAAGGAAAAAAGTTACTCAGTAAAATAATTCCTGTGTACTCCCCAAGTCAAGAAACAAAACTCACCCGGACGGGTGCAAAAGAAAATTAGTAAAAGTACCCAGTATATATTTAGAACTAAAAAGTGAAACGTCCCAATTAGTAGTTATGAAACTAACCACTAACTCAACAAAACACCCCCCAAACAACAGAAATTCGTGTGTGTTGACACAGATCAACTCAAAAGTGGTTTAGAATTGCCAGCTCTTTCCCTCGCAGCTGTTTTTGACTACAACTGGGCACAGAGCATGCCTTCAGCTCGGCTTCCGCCCACCTCTGAACAGGCTGGTGTGCCTGGTCCCACATCTGTTTGTCTTTTCTTAGCGGGCCGGGTGGTCTGGCTCCTCTAGGGAGAAGGTTGAGTTTGCAGGTGGGTCTCGGGAAGCTGCAGGCCCAGTAACGGAGGAAGGGGTCCTGGGAAGAAAGAGCAGCTCGTTCTCCCAGGGGGATGACCAGGTTCTGTCCCCAGCCTTGTTCCACAAACCTCAGAAAACTGCTCTCTGGGGACAACTGAGTCTCTGTGTCCCCTGATGAAACTCCTGCAGGCTGGGGGCTGGGCGTCCCCTTGGCCTCTCTTCCCAGGTTAGTGGCCTGGCTAAGGGCAGACGCGGGACGCAGAGAGCGTCTCCGGGGCAACGGAGGGGCGCGGCTGGACGGGAGGGGGCGGAGGGCGGAGTTAGGCTAAAATGGGCTTTGGGATTGGGCAGCTCCCAGACTCTTTGAGCACAGGGGTGATGCTTGGAGGAGGAGGTTTGTTGACAAGTGGACGTGGCCTGCAGGAGGAACTCGGGTCTTTAAGTGACCCCAATAGAGAAATCTCCACAATCCAAGAACCTTGAGTGTGAGAATGCTCCTAAACTTCTTCCTTCAGGGCACCGCTTTTTCTCAATATTTTTCAGTATTTCTCCTTCGGCCACGAGATTGATGGAAAACCCGCAGATTGGCATCCAAGATCTCCATTAACCTCATGAAACCATCCATCAAAATAAAAGAGCTATTGTAGTCTTCCTCAGCCTACGCAGAAATGACTTTGTCAAGCCTGTCTCTAGAACGATAATCCGACTTTGAGTTGTGGTCAGCTAAGAAGTCTAAGGTCTCTTGGAATTACTCTGTCCTCATTTGTTCTCATTTCTGAACCTTGAGAGTTTAATTTTTCCCTAATGGGGCGTCTTGTTTAACTCTTTTTGCTCATCGATGTCTTTGCTCTATGAGTCCATCTTCCCTGAGAGAGTGAGATCCGTGTAAATGTGGTTTTAATCTTTTCCTTTTCTTGTGTAACTTCCTGCAGCAGCACAGAGGATGGGGGCTGCGGTGTGATATACCTTCACACAGGTTTTGAATGAACTGGGTGAATGACAGGATAGACGGAAGTTCCTCCAGCTGACTCCTGGTTCGCATGTAGAATTCCAAGGGGAATGGGGTCAGATCCAAACTGCTGGTTGAAGCTGTCACTGACCTGCTACACCCAGAGTGCCTTCTGATCTTTGCTGCAGAGACAGGTATTTAGGACAAGCCACACTCTCCCCAGTGCCAACCCCACTGCTCCAGCGATGCCACCACATCCTGGCCACTCCCCACAGCAGCTCTCAGTGCAGTTTTGACACCTCTCTCGTCGATTCCGATAGGAAAACTTTCCTGAATCCTTCTTGTTTGGCTTGGGTGTCCCCATGCAATACTGAAGAAGGGATATTCTACACAATTTCAGTCCTTTCAGGCTGGCATTGCCCTTCTAAGTGGCTGTGACACTTAGAAAGTACCCGCTTACCTTGCCTAGTCCAGTGCTCATGGCAAGAACTCTAAAGCCCATTTCCTTGCTTCTTTCCTATGTGACCCCTAAGAAGATCTGTGTCGTCAATGGCAATCACACATCTCAGTGTTTAAAGCATCAAAGTCATTTCTGAATTACACTATGAGCTGTCACAAGGCAGCCTTGAGTTTTGCCCCATGCTACTGCCACAGGAGAACTGGGCTGAAAGGACCGTCGCCTGCAACATGACCCACCTGTGACAGAGATGATAATGGAAGAAAATGGCCCATTGGCTTCGAAGGCCTGCTCAACTGTCAGAACAGAAGAAACTGGAAACACCTACAAATGACAGCCACAGTGACTTTTTCTGATGAAGCCTTGTGTAGCTGCGGCTGGCCTGGAAAGCCCAATCCTCCTGAGTGCTGCGTGTGTAGGTGTGTCTCACCAGACCTGGTTAATTCTCCTGTGTACTTTTTTGCTTAGACATTTCATTAGGTTCTTGAGGCAGAGCCTTGCGGTCAGTTTCCTGTATCCTTCTTCACATTCAAATAACTGAGCTATTGCTTTAAGAGTATTTTCTTTTTTAAATGTTTTCTTCTTTGATTCTGTTTATTAATGTTGAGCTCCTGCTTTGAGTTTTTAATCCTGACAAATATGGTGTTTCATTTTTATTGTTATTAACCATTTTGTTATGTTAGCTGTAACATTTAAAAATGTCATTTGTTAGTCCCTTATTGATGCTTTTGCATGTGGAAAGAAATGTATGTTTAGTATTTGGGAGCTCTCTTGTGTTGCTCCTTTAGACTTGTTTTGTTTTTTAAGGCAGATTTTCACTCCGTAGCCTTGGCTATCCTGGGACTAGCTCTATAGACCAGGTTGGCCTTGAGCTCACAGAGATCTGCCTGCCTCTGCCTTCTGAGTGCTGGAATAAAGATGTGTGCCACCACTGTCTGCCTGGATTAGAATTTTTAAGTGTGTGTGTGTGTGTGTGTGTGTGTGTGTGTGTGTGCAGAGGTCAGAGAACAACCTGGGTGAGTTAGTTCTTTCTTGTTCCGTTCTGTGTGACCCAAGGATCAAACTAAGTTTCTGGGGATTAGAGACAAGTGCCTGTACTTTGCCATCTTGCTGATCTAGGACAGCCTTCTAGTTGGAGGTGCTGAAAATCAGACCCAGCCCCCCACCCCCATACATGCTAAGTGTTTAGTTTACCTCTGAGCTCTGCGCCACCATTTTTAATAGATTCTTTGTCATGAACACAATCTCTTCTCAGTTATCAGATTTTTAAGGTTGTATTTTTCTCTATAATTATATTTGCCTGCAGGAAAGTTTTTTCTTGTTTAATGTTGACATTTTTGCATAGCCTATTATCCTTGGCTGCTATAGTGATTATCAGTAGGTTCAGCTTCCAGGAGCAGAAATCAACAATAGTCCTAGCCTCTGATTTACAGCTTACCTGGGTATGGAGTCCCTTCTTACGACAGTCTCTGCAACCCAGCCACAGCGTCTGCATTTTATCTGAGGATGCACACACAGAAGAATAATGGCATGCTTGGCTTACTCATCCCAAGACGAACAAACTGCTGCTTTAGCCCACCAGCAAGGACTTGGCCATGTGACCAAGCAGGCAGGAAAATGTCAGCTATATTTTGAATATCTACATGTCATGCCTTAGAATTTGAAGTTTGAATAGCAAAGCAAAAAAAAAATCTGATAATATTTGTCATTTATTCCATATAATCAGTGGCCTCCTTAGAAGGCAATTACTGCCTAAAAGTCATGTTTTGACTCTGATTCAATCTTTTTTTTTTGAAAGTAAATTTTATTAAATTATAAAAGTTTCCATTTCCGCCCCTCTTCCCAACACCCTCCCACTCCCCCCACTCCCTCTCCTCCTCCCTCTTTGTCCCTTATGGCAGTCAGGGTTTCCTGCCCTGTGGGAAGTTCAAGTTCCTCCCCCCTCCCTCCAATCTTAATCTCAGATTCTACTTCAATTCCTGGAGTTCCCAGGCCCAGCCTTTCAGGTTCTTATCTCTCTCCCTTAGGCAGACTCAACTACAGTATATTTTATGAGCTGGGCTGCTTGGAGAACTGTATGTTGGTCCACAGACTACTTTGTGGATCCTATGTTTTATTTTAGGTAAGTCTGTTTACTGCTCCTCTCTGTCTCTGTCTCTGTCTCTTTCCCGCGCCCCCCACCCCCGTATGTCTGTATGTGTCCGTATGACTTTAGTGATTAAGGAAGAAGAGGGCATGAATTTGAGGGAGAATGGGGGCGTAGGAAGTGCTGTGGAGAGTGAAAACAATTGGAAATGATTTAAATACAGCAATAATGAGTGCACTTCTCAAAACATTAATTGCAAACAGATACTCTTTTGCTGTGGGAATTCAGACTTGGACAATAGCGACTAATAATTCCTTGACTGTTTCTACATAACTGCATGCTTTCTGGGGTCAGCAGATGGAAGGAAACTGGGTAAGCCGACAGTGACTGTACCATTTTGACAGCACCTTTTGCTGGAGGAAAGTCATATGTAGCACACACTGCTCCCATCTCTGTGTTAATAAATAAGATGAAAATAATTTGCTTTTGCCTAGCAGGGCTAACTGTACTTTTTATTTTCCAGTGTAGTAGTAATTTGTCAACTGTGGCTTTTTTGTTCTGCAATTTAGACTACAAGAGACTTAGTTCTCTGTCTCTCTCTTCCCACCCCTTTCCCTGGGACACACACAATCATAGTGGCTTAGCACACGGATGGGCATTTAAAAAACCAAGAGGAAAAAATAGCCGGTGTCCTCCATGCATACTATGATGCAGTAATCTTTCATCTCAGTGGCATTTGTTAAGGGGTGATCTCTAATGGCTGGATACTACAAGGTGGAGGTCAGTTCCTCACAGTTATTTCATCTGACCAAATGCTTGTCTATTTTTGATGTTGTTGGATTTATCTTTGCCGATTCTTTAAAAAGTGCTTGCATTTGTGTTGTTTATGTATGTGAGGGTCAGTCTCTTTCTACCATGTGGGTCCTAGGACGTGAACTCAGGTCATTGGCCTGGCAGCAATCCCTTTAGCCTGCAGAGTCATCTCACTGGCCCCATTGCCTGCTTTTTACCTCCGGTGACCTGATACGAATTACGGTCTCTCACCATCTTTATAGCTCACTCTATCGTGAGAAAATTATGGTTCTTGTTTAGGATCTGCCTTGAGTTGCATCTGGCTTCAAAGTGATTCAGCAAGCAATCCCACAATACCATGCACTCCGATAAATCTCTTGGGAAGAGAGAGCCGATGAGGAATTGTCTAGGTAAGGCTGACCTGCGCTGTGCCTGTAAGGGATTTTCTTCACTGGGATAACAGGTGTAGGAAGGCCCACCCTGGGTGAGAACGGCTCTATGTCAAGGGCTGGTCCTAGACGGAATATAAAGGAGGGAGCCGCCTGAGCGCTGGCAAACCTGAACACACACATTCTCTCTCTGCCTTTGACTGTGGATGTAGCTGGATGCTCAAGTTCCTGTTCCTTCAACTTCTGTGCAGTGATGTACCTGGGTCTGTGAGCTGAAGGAAGCCCTTCCTGCCCTGAATCACTTTGGTCAGCTTTTATATCACAGCAAAGGAAAGGCAACAAGGACACTAACTAAAACAGACTTTTTGATTATTATAAAGGGTACTATTTAATACCAGTTAAGAAACTATTAAATACTATATCTGTATTAAATAATGCAAATATAATCAATTTAATTTAGACACACACTTGTATGTCTTAGTTACATATATTTGCTCACAATAAGCATTTTAGAGTATTGTATTCCTTTTAAAGTAAAACTTGAAACCTTACAATTTATTTGAGAAATGGGAAGGAAGAATATAC